CGTTGGTTCTGAAAACTAAAAAAACCTACAAAAACTACAAAGACTACAAAACTCACGCTTCTTCAAAAATGCTTCCATCCAATCCTCGAATTTTTATATCCAAAAGTAACTTTTCGGTTTTCAGTGGTCGTGTGACATTGGTAACAATTAGCCATTCGAATGTATCAGCGAATCCTCCGAAAATCCACTTCTAAAAAATATTTTCAGTGGAGCGCATTTACTGAGTAGCCAAAATTTAGGTCAATTTTAAACTCATTTTGAAGATCTCATTTTCAACAACTCAACACTTTTTTCAAAATTAAATTCTAACAACAACCGACAAGTTACGAATGGTTTTCGGTGGAGCGCATTTTCTCACAAAATCAAAATTTTCTCAAAAGTAGGTCATGTTTATACTCATTTTGAAGCTCTCTTTCTCAAAAACTCAAAAATTGAAATTTCATTTGACTTGGCTGACAACTAACTGAGTTACGCCTATTTTTCGGTAGAGCGTGTTTTCTCACAAAATTAAAGTTGTTGAAACCAGGTCGTGATTATACTTATTTTAGAGCTCTCATTTTTAGAAACTCAAAATTCTTAGTTTCATTCAATTTGAACTGAAACTAACCAATTTACGCGTGTTTTTCAGTAGAGCGCATTTTCTGACTAAAACGAAAATTTCTCAAAAGTAGGCCATGTTTATACTCCCTTTGAAGCTCGAATTTTCACCAATTCAATGGTTTATTTCAAATTGAATTCAGACAAAAACTATCGAAGCTATGCTTGTTATTCGGTAGAGCGCACGTGCTCACAAAATCGAAAGTTATCGAAACTAGGCAATGATTATACTTATTTTGAAGCCCTTTATCTCAGCAACTCAGTATTTTTTTCAAAAACGAGTTAAGACAAAAACTGACTGAGTTACGGCTGGTTTTCGGTAGACCGCATTTTCTGACCAAATCAAAAGTTCTAGAAACTAGGTTGTGATTATACTCATTTTAAAGCTCTCAATCTCAGAAACTCAAAGATCTTAGTTTTATTCAATTTGCGCAACAACCGAGTGAGTTGAATCTAAAAATGTATTACCTTTACCAACAAATTGAAACCTTGCTCATCTTTAACATTGTTCATCTGAATTTGTTTGGAATTCAAATTTTCCAAATTCTCATGACCAATTCCATCATAACCGGTCAGTTTCATGTGGATTGTGGGTTGGAGAACTGAAAATTTCAGAAAAATTTCAGATTTTTTTCTCGACATTTCAAAAAATCTTACATGTTCATGACCCAAAATTTTATCCCAATGATCTGACATGAGCATGAAATTTATTCCGTTATCATTTTCCTGGATGATATCCAGCCAGGCCGGAATTGCAGAATTTGCGCGGTCTGAAAATCGAAAAAAAAATGAAATTGAGTTTTTGGGTTACTGTAGATTTACTGTACTTATCCGAAAAGCTGAATGTTGACAGTTCCAGAGATGATGGGATTTTTCCATTGTAGTCACCCTGAAAATTTTGAAATTCACAAATTCTGAAATTTAAAAAAAAGTTGAAACTTTCTTTAAATCCTTAATTCTTGAAAATTTTGAAAATCAATTTTTTTTTCAATTTTTTAATTTTATGGTAAATGTAATATTTTTAGGTGTAACTGTGTCAATTTTTGTGCAAACCGACGGAAATTGAGATACTTGAATTTCTGAGAAGGAGAGCTTCAAAATGAGTATAAACATGACCTACTTTCGAGAAATTTTCGATTTATTCAGAAAATGCGCTCTACCGAAAAATAGGCGTAACTCTCTCAGTTTTAGTCAAAATTAAATTTTGAAAAAATGCGTTGCTGAGATGAAGAGTTTCAAAATGAGTATAATCATGACCTGGTTTCAAAATTTTTCGCTTTTGTGAGCAAATGCGCTCTACCGAAAAACAAGCGTAACTCAGTTAGTTTATGTCTAAATTCAAATTTGAAACAACGGCCGAGTTGCTCAGATAAAGAGCTTCCATATGAGTATAAACATGACCTACTTTTGAGAAATTTTCGATTTAGTTAGAATGTGCGCTCCACCGAAAACCATTCGTAATTTGGTCGGTTGTTGTTAGAGTTCAATTTTGAAAAAAAGAGTTGAGTCGTTGAATATGAGAGTTTCAAAATGAGTATAATCATGACCTGGTTTCAAAATTTTTCGCTTTTGTAAGAAAATGCGCTCTACCGGAAAACAAGCGTAGCTTATTGGATTTTTGTTCACATTGAATGCAATTAACTATTTTGAATTGCTGAAAACGAAAGCTTCAAAATGAGTATAAACATGACCTTCTTTTAAGAAATTTTCGATTTGGTCAGAATGTGCGCTCTTCCGAAAAACACGCGTAATTTGGTCAGATTTAGTCCAAATTGAATGAAGCTGAGAATTTTGTGCTTCTGAAAATGAGAGCTTTGAAATGAGTATAATCATGACCTGGTTTCAAAATTTTTCGCTTTTGTGAGCAAATGCGCTCTAAAGAAAACCAGCCGTAACTCAGTCAGTTTTTGTCTTAACTCGTTATTGAAAAAATACTGAGTTGCTGAGATAAAGAGCTTCAAAATGAGTATAATCATTGCCTAGTTTCGATAACTTTCGATTTTGTGAGCAAGTGCGCTCTACCGAATAACAAGCATAGCTTCGATAGTTTTTGTCTGAATTCAATTTGAAATAAACCGTTGAGTTTGTGAAAATTCGAGCTTCAAAATGAGTATAAACATGGCCTACTTTTGAGAAATTTTCGTTTTAGTCAGAAAATGCGCTCTACTGAAAAACACGCGTAAATTGGTTAGTTTCAGTCCAAATTGAATGAAACAAAGAAGAGTTTCTGAAAATGAGAGCTCTAAAATAAGTATAATCACGACCTGGTTTCAACAACTTTGATTTTGTGAGAAAACACGCTCTACCGAAAAATAGGCGTAACTCAGTTAGTTGTCAGCCAAGTCAAATGAAATTTCAATTTTTGAGTTTTTGAGAAAGAGAGCTTCAAAATGAGTATAAACATGACCTACTTTTGAGAAAATTTTGATTTTGTGAGAAAATGCGCTCCACCGAAAACCATTCGTAACTTGGTCGGTTGTTGTTAGAATTTAATTTTGAAAAAAGTGTTGAGTTGTTGAAAATGAGATCTTCAAAATGAGTTTAAAATTGACCTAAATTTTGACTACTCAGAAAATGCGCTCTACTGAGAATACTTTTTAGAAGTGGATTTCTGGACGATTTGCTGGCACTTTTGAGTGGCTAATGTTCGAATTTTTCGAAAATTTCTAACTCTTCAAAAACCTAAAAAACTCTGACCCGAATATCCAATAACTCAATTTTGGATCCCATAACCCATCCTTGAAAACACAAATCAGCCATCAGCCGAAACTCCGCCTCCAATCCACGTGGCGAATACACACAATCCAATCCATTCGATTTTATCGTCGTCTTCAACGAATTATTCAATCCATTCCGATCGAAATAAAACGAATACGAATTCTGATTTTCCTCATCAAAATTCACCAAAATTTCGGCACTTTTTGAATTATAACGAAGCGGACAAAATTGAAGACAGTATACTGGGATTTTTACATTTTTCACCAATTCGTAGTTCTTTTTGCATGTCGCAGAGAATTTCGCTCTGAAAAAAAATTGAAGAATTTGATTTTGAAATTTTTGAAAAAAATACCGTAAACCCTCTAATAGATATGCCCCCACACTGTCAAGTTTGAGCTTAGTTATCTAAGCTCCTATAAGAGATATCAAAAAGTATTCAACTGATAAAATATTGCTGATATCATGATAAACATTTAATTAGTTGAACACTTTTTGATACCTCTCAAAGTGACCCAGATAAATTGACTGATCTACAGTATCCGAAATATAATATGATATTTGACCTGCTGAGGGTCCTATAACTTTAAGCCAATTTATCTCGTTTTCTGTGAATGATGTCAAAAAGTAATTAACTGATAAAATGTTGCTGACATCATGATAAACATTTTATCAGTAGACAACTTTTTGATATCTTTCACAAGAAGTGAGATAAATAGGCTCAAAGTAGACGGTCCGGGTGGCGTTCTATTAGAGTGTTTACGGTACTCTGAAATTTTTTAAAGCTTTCATTCAAACTGTAAAAAAGTGAGAATTTGCAGGATTTATAAATTTTCCAAGTCATTGAAAATCTTAAAATCAAAAAATAAAGAAATTCTAAAAAAAAAGAAAAAAATAGTTTTCCGAATTTTACAAATTTTTCATAGATATTCAAATTTTCGAACTTTTTTCAGTTTTTTTTGTAATTCGAAAATTCTTGGATTTTTCAAATTTTTGAACTTTTCAGCTTCTGAATTTTTCGAATTTTCGAAATTTCTGAAATTCCGAAATCCCGAAAAACTCACTTCTCCCTCGGATTCAAATATCCAATTATGTGTTTTTGTGCGTTTTCTGGGATAATTCCCCAGGATTCTCTTTTTCTCTTCTCAGGCGAAGTGAAAATAAACGAACAGCAGAATATAGGCATTTTGGATTCAGACGACGTCTTCTGAATTTCCAGAAGACGTCAAAAAAATAATTCAGAATTTAATTTTTTTTCGTCGGAAATGAAATTTTCAAGAGTTGTCAAGGACAACATAGTAGAAACACCTGCTGATTTTTTGGGTTTGTGGGAAAAATGGAAATTTTGGAAAAGTTTGTTTTTTGAACTTTCCAGCACAAATCAAAATTATAGATGTTTTGAGCTATAATTTCATGGAAATTTGTGAAATTTTTTGAAAAAAAAATAATGTTAAATTTGTCATTTTTAGGGTTTTTTTTTAAAGTTCAAGCACTTTTTTAAGGTTCTAAAATATGAAAATTCGAAAAATCCAAAAAACACATCTAAATTCAAATTTTTAGAATTCCAGATCTGTGAGCTCCCGAGCCAAATATATTATTGAATTTGTCTTGTTGAGAGCTTTGAAATGAGTATAAACATGCCCTAGTTCATGCGAATTTCGAAAAAGTCAGAAAATGCGCTCCACTGAGAAAAATCAGAAAAATCTTCATAACTTTGTTTATTTCGAAGATATAACAGTTATTTTAAGAGCTAGTTAATTAAAATTTAAAGCACTTAAAAATGATAGTAATTTTGTAAAACTTCTAAGAAATTTTGAAAATGCGCTCTATTGACAATTTCTGTAAATTTTGGTCAAAACGTGAAACAATCTGCAATGTTGAATCTGTTCTGTTGACAGATTTAAAACGAATATAATCATGCCCTAGTTCAAGCAAACTTTGAAAAAAAGTCAGAAAATGCGCTCTACTGAGAAAATTCAGAAAAATCGTCATAACTTTGCTCATTTCGAGGATAGAATATTGATTCTGAAAGCCAGATACGTAAAATTTAAAGCGCTTCAAAATAATAATAATTTTGTTAAATTTCCAAAAAATTTTGGAAATGCGCTTTATTGGCAATTTTTGTGAATTTTTGTCAAAACGTAAAACAAGCTGCACCGTTGAATCTGCTTTGTTGACAGCTTCAAAACAAATATAATCATGCCCATGTTCAGGTGAATTTTGAAAAAGTCAGAAAACGTGCTCTACTGAGAAAAATTAGAAAAATCGCAATAACTTTGTTCATATCAAAGATAGAATATTGATTCTGAAAGCTAGACATGTAAAATTTAAAGCACTTTCAAGTGATAATAATTTTGTTAAATTTCCAAACAATTTTGAAAATGCGCTCTATTGAGAATTTTTCAAAAATCTATCTTTGATTGATTCTTATGATCTTTATCCTTGATCACATCAAAATACAACAAACCGCTTGACCTAAATGACCATCTGCCATGACAAAATTATCGTTCATTTCTCATCTTTCTCTTTTTCTCTCTGCGTCTCTTCCGAAGAAATACTCTCTCGTCTTATTATTAATAATGCCTGAGCTGTTCTGGGGAAACTGGAGGCGTGTTTTTTGTTTGTCAGGAGAATTTTTCTAAGAAATCGTCGAAAATTAGAGAATATAAGTTTTTGAAAATCTGAAAATTTTTTTGGAAATTTTCGGAAATTTTGAATTTCCGGGTTTTCGGATTTTCTGGGATTTGTTGGAATTATTACACCTTTTGACTAGATTTCCGGAATTCCGTTTTCTTTTTTTGTTGAAAATCTTATTTTTACGATTTTCCTAAAAATAGATTTTTCTAGAATCCTGTTATTATTATTCCAAATTTTATAAAATCTTGTTTTTATAGTTAATCCTTTTTTCGTTCGCTTCTAGAAGGGTTTTATTGTAGTGTTCCCTTATAAATAATATTTTCATTTTCATTTTGCTGAAAATAATTTCTAGAATTTTCTGGAAAAAACATTTTTTGAGGCATAATTTTTTGCCAATTTTTTAAAAGACCATCTGATATTTTTAGGTTTAGATCAAATGCATTTTCCCATGACATTTCATGTTTTTTATTTGTTCTTTTTCTCTCTTATCAATCAAACTTATCATCCCCCAATCAGCTGGCCACCGTGATTACTCACGTTTATCTTCCATGTTCCTTCTTTGCAAATGTTTACCGAGGTATAGTTGACGGCTTAGTGGACCAAATTTTTTGAAAATCGTATGGTTGAATAGGAAATTTTTTGTAGATGCTGTAGGTTTTTTGAATTTTCAAAAAATCGCAAATTTGCCATTTTCTAGAGCTTTTAGTCTGGCATGACATGTTATTCAAGATCTTCCAACTTCAACATGATATAATTTTTTTTGATTGTCAACCGATTATTGTGAAATGTTTAGCATTTGATCAAAAATTTTATTTAGATACTGTCCATTCTTTGAATTTCCCAAAAATCTCCAATCTGCCGTTTTCTAGAGCTTTTAGTCTGGCATGACATATTATTGATGATAACCCAACTTCAAAATGATATAACTTTTCTGATAATTCACCGATTTGCATGAAACTTTTACCATTTAATAAGAAATTTAATGGAGATACTGTGCATTTTTTGAATTTTTCAAAAAATATCAATTTTCGCGCTCAAACGCTCTGTAGAAACAACGCATTCTTTTTATCCTTCGTGTCTAATGCCTACTCTAACGCCTAGTCTAAGCCTACTCATAACTTTTTTCGTAGTTTACTGATTTTTATGAAATTTGTACCGTTCGATTAGAAATTTTATGTAAATTCTGATACTTTTTTTTAATTTCAAAAATCTCAATTTTCGCGCCAAAATCCTTTGAATGATTCAATCCATCCCTTATGAGCCTTCCTGTTTTTCACTGATGTTTGTCTATTCATAACTTTTTTCGTATTCAACCGATTTTTATGTTATATACATTATTAAATTTAAAATTTTATGTAGATACTGTACACTTTTTGAATTGTCAAGAAATCTTAATTTTCGCGCCTAAACCCTTCAATGACTCAACGCATCCCTTCTAAGCCTCGTTGACCATATGTGTTTTGTCTGCTTGTCTAACCCACTCTCTTCATCTGCCACACTATTTCACTGCGTTCCTCAAGGTGCTGGCCATCACGGACCGAGGAGCGTGTTTGGCGAAAATTAGTTTTGGGCTATGAACACACATCGAGAGAGTATGGGAAATGAAGAGAGTGGCTAGAGAAAGAGAGGGAACACTTTCTTTGCGGGGAGGTCTTCCCTTTGTTCGGTTTTTCTGCAAAATCCGTGTGAGGGAAAAAAGGCAGGATATTTTATGTCTTTTTACACAGAATTCTTTTTTTGTTGCTGTTGAAAAAAAAACATTTTTATGAGATTTTTAAGGGGGTGTTCTGTGAGATAAGGGGGTTGTAAAGTCATAAAATTGGAATCACAGATGTTCTTCTTGGGATTGCTCATTCTTGAAATTTAGTTGAAAAATAGATGTTTTTAGAAGTTCTAATTTAAATTCGATTTAAAAATCCCAAAATATAAACATTGGATTTTTTGGAATTTTTGAAAACTTGAAATTTCAAAATTTTTAAAAAATCCAAAAACTTTGAATTTTCTGGCTAATTTTTCCCAATTTTTCCTACATTATTTAATCAATTTTTAAAATAATTTTCCCAATTTTCTCTCTAATTTAAACTTTTTCTTCAAAAAAATTTTTTTCCCAAAATTTCGAAAAATTTCGCAACTCAATTTTTTTCCAATTCTCTCTTCCTTAGATTTCTATTTGCTCTTTCCCACTCATTCCCATTTTTTTCGACCACACACATTCGAAAAAAAAAAGTCTCTAGTATTTGCCCAAAAATGGCATCGAATTTTAGCCAATTTTAATTTTTTTTTTGTTTTCAATTTCGAAAATTTTCGAAATTTCAAATCTTGATGTTTTAGGATCAATCTGTTGAGAATCGGCTTTTTTTTCAAGTAGAAATCTTATAATTTTTGAAAACTTGAGTTTTCAGAATTTTGAAATTCTATTAAAATTTTCAGAATACTGTAAACACTCTAATAAAACGCTACCCGGTCCATCCACTTTGAGCCTATATATCTCTTTTCTTTTGAAAGATATCAAACAGTTGTTAACTAATAAAATGTTTATCATGATATCAGCAATATTTTATCAGTTGACTACTTTTTGATATCTCTCACAGAAAACGAGTTACATGGGCTCAAACTTGACGATTCGGGTGGCGTTCTATTAGAGTGTTTACGGTAGTCTTGTTTGGTTTCTTGGAATTCTAATTTTTTTTTTCTTTTAATTTAATTTACTTTTTTTTTCAGAAAATGGCTCACCCACCGGACCGATATTTGACAACTTATACTCAAAATCAACGAGTTTATGAATGGTTGCAAAGTATTTCGAAACCAAATATAGCCAATTTTTTGGATATGGACGCAGATGCTCTATTGGTTTTTGTGAGAAAATTGGATAGGAGTACAAGGTGAGCAATCTTTTTTTTTTGAATTTTCAAAATCTGAATATTGGAATTTTTTGAAATTTTGAATTTCCTGGTTCCCTAGGATTTATGAAGTTACTTTTTTTTCAATTTTCGGATTTTCAGAATCCGAGTTTTGAAGTTTTGAAGTTTTAAAGAATTTTTCGATTTTTTTTTTGGAATTTATAAGATTTTCGAGATTCCTGAACTTCTGAGTTTTTGGAAAATTTTTGGAATTTTCGGAATTCCTGGTTTTTTTTTAAAATAATTTAGTTTTAGTATTTTGGAGTCTTTCAGTTTCATGGAATATGTAAAAATTTTTGAGACTTCTTGGTTTTTGGAAATTATAGATTTTTCGGGATTTTTAAATTAACAATTTTTGTGAATGTCTCAAATTGCGGCTTCGCAGGTGAATTAGCATTAGAGCGCATTTTCTGACTAAATCCAAAACTAGACTTGTTTATACTTATTTTGAAGCTGTAATCTTAAGAATCTCAAAAAACTACTTTTCACCAAAACTGAACAAAAACTGAATGAGTTATGAGCAGTTTAGCATTAGAGCGAATTTTCTGAAGATTCCCAAATCTAGTCTTGTTTGTACTCATTTTGAAGCGCTTGACATGAGAAATTATTCCCATTAATTTTATTTGCAATTGAACGAAGACTGGAAGGGTTATGAGGAATTTATCAATAGAGCGCGTTTTCTGACTATATCCAAAACTAGTCTTATTTGTACTCATTTTGAAGCTCTTGCCTTGAGAAGCTCAAAAAGAGCTCAGAAGAGCTCAGAAGTTTTACAATTTCGCTTTTTTTGGAGTTTCCAAATTTCGATAGTTACGAAACTTTAAGATTTCAAAGAAAACTTTCGATTCTGATAGTGAGTTTCTAAATTTCCGGAACTTTTGATTTTTCAGGTTTCAAACATTTTGCAAAATTCCGGATATTTTTAGAAAATTTTTTTAAAAAACCGAAACTTCTGAATTTCCCAAAATTTTAATTTTCGTTTTTTTTAACTCGAAAACTGAAAATCAGAAAATCGAATTCTTCATTTACCGTAAACACTCTAATAGAACGCCACACGGACCGTCAATTTGAGCCTATATATCTTACTTCTTTTAAAAGATATCAAAAAGTTTTTAACTAATAAAATGTTTATCATAAAATCAGCAATATTTTATCAGTTGACTACATTTTGATATCTTTCACTGGAACCGAGATACACGGGCTCAAATTAGGCGATTCGGGTGGCGTTCGATTAGAGTGCTTACGGTATTTTTTTTTCAAATTTCAAAAATAAAGAATTTCAGATCAAAACTGGAACAAAGTTGTCGCTTTCTGTGTAACATTTCTCGTTGCGATAAACCCCATCTTCAACAACTGTCCCTTCAATTCACCACCACTTGGAACCATGATCAATTCGCTGAAATTACAGCGATTTTCGATCAATTTCACACTTTTCATGCAGTTTTCATGTGGAAAATGAGCAATCCTTTATGGATAACTGGTGGATGGTCGACTGATAAACAGAAAATGATAAATTCTGGAATTTTCCCTCCTGAAAAACTGAAATTAAATGTACTTTCGCTTCAAGGACTTCGAAATATATCGAATATTGGCTCAGGAATTTTGAAATCGATGTTTTGAGAATCAAAGTCAAAAATTTAATTCCAGGGAAGGAGAATGCATTTCAACATGTGAGTTTTGAATTTGGAAATTCAGAAAAATTCATGAAAATGGTCATAGCTCATTCAGTTTTTGCTCAATTCTCATGAAAATTGAATTTTTGAGCTTCTTAGAATTATAGCTTCAAAATGAATATAAACAAGCCTAGGTTCGGAACTACGAAGAAAATGCGCTCTAATGTTAAATTACTCGTAGCTCATTCAGTTTTTGCTCGATTTCGATGAAAAGTATATTTTTGAGCTTTTCGTGACTAGTGCTTTAAAATGAGTATAAACAAGCCTAGATTTGAATCTTGTCAGCAAATGCGCTCTAATGCGAAATTGATCATAACTCACTTAGTTTTTGCTCAATTTTTATGAAAAGTAGATTTTCGAGCTTCCCATAACTAGAGCTTTCAAATGAGTATGAACAAGCATGTCTTTGAAGTGACTGAGAATTTGCGCTCTACTGCTAAAAATTCAAATTTTTGAAAAATTGCAAAATATGAGCAATCCAAAACTCCAATATTTTTCCAGACAAACTACATGGGACTAGTTCCACAGTTAAAACTCAAGAAGTTTATCCTCATTGGAGCGAACAATCTACGGTTCATTAACTCGTGGCTCAACAGTCTGCAACCAAATATTCCGGATCCAATCGATAATTCCCGAAAAACGATCGATATCGAATTTATTGATGTCGAGAAGTCGGATTTGATCATGCGGCATCCATTGGTAAAAATCTGGAAAACATTTTTTTGAAATTTGGAACATTTTCAGATGAAGACTGGAATTGTGAATCTGAAATTCCATAAAAACAGTTCGCATTTTCAACACAAATCTCTGAATATTATCAATGTACCGTATGCTGAAATCACAGCACGCCAAGTATCTTCAGAAGCCGTCAACTTGTTTCTGAAGGTGAGCAATTCTGAAATTAGCGTTAGAGCGCATTTTCTTCACAACTCCAAAGATAGGCTTGTTTATACTCATTTTGAAGCTCAAGTCACGAGAAGCTCAAAAAAAAATTTATACGAATTGAGAGAAAACCAAGTGAGTTATGCGCATTTTAGCATTAGAGCGCGTTTGCTGAAGACTTTCAAATCTAGGCGTGTTTGTACTCATTTGGAAGCACTAGTCATGGAAAGCTCAAAAATCTACTTTTCATCAAAACTGAGGGAAAACTGAGTGAGGGATAAGCGAATTAGCATTAGAGCGCAAATGCTCCCTCACTACGAATATAGACTTGATGGTACTCATTTTAAAGCTCTAGTCACAAAAAAAAACAAACTACGGTGTTTTCATCCACATTCATCGAAAACTGAGTGAGTTACGCCTATATTCTCAATAGAGCGCAAATGCTGACTCACTCCAAATATAGGCTTGTTTATACCCATTTTGAAGCTCTCAACAAGCTGAAACTGATAAAAATATTGGCATGACTCAGTTTTGAATTTCTAGGCCAGCAAACTTGAAATACTTCTAACTCGGTTCAAAATCACTCGTTTTTGCTAATTTTTCTAGTATTTTGAAGCAAATTTATCCTATCCTATTTACACGCGTTTCTGTTTAACATGTTAAAAAAATTTTTAGCGCTGGGCTCGTGGAGAAATGACCGAGGCGTTTGAATACCTTCATATCACTGAAACAACACAATGGCCGAAGCAAGAGATTCAAATGAGGGATGTGCTGAAAGGATTACGGTATCAAATTGTGGAATTGCAGACCGATGTGAAATTGTGAGTATATTTTAGGGAGAAAATTTGGCATTTGAAAAAAATGTTTTTTTTTTTTGAAATTTCAATTTTTTCGAAATTTCGAAATTTCTAGAAAATCATTCCAATTTTAGAGAAAACTGAAGAATCAAAAAATTTCCAGAAAAATCTTGTCTCACCGAACTGCTCGAAACCATCAGAAGACGTCAACGTCTTCTATGCCAACGTCTTCTTCTGAGTCCTCGTCATCTGAAATTTCCGCAAATGCACAAATTTTTCAAATCTGTGGTCCCCGCCCGGGATTCTGTATTCACGAAGATGGCGAATTCATTTTTGAAGTGCCGAAATCTGAAGAAATCCAAAAAATTCAAGTTTTCCCGCCAATTCTTCAGACGTCGTGCGAGGAATTCGAACGACAGAAGAATAGGATTTATATGGAATTGTTTCGGAAAAAGCTAATTAAATATTTTAATTAAAATAACAATTTAAAAATTCGAAAAAATTCGAAAAAAACATTTTTTTTGAAATTATTTTTTTTTAATTCAATTTTTTTTTTCCAAAATTCAAATTTTTCAAAAAATTTAGCGCTGGCGCTAAAAACATGAGCTTAAATTAATCAATGCTTTACCGATTGTTTTTCCCTTAAAAATGCAATAAATCAATAATTTATCTTTTTCACATAATTATGCATAAAAATCAATAAAGAAATAGTAATTATCCTTCTCTTTTTTTCTACAAAGTAACTCAAAACCCGTCAAAAGGCAATTATAAAAAAAATGATCACAAGCAAAGAATTGACATAAATTAGTTTTAAAAATTCAAATTTTGGCACAGAACAAATTCGAGAAAATCAATAAATCAATAAATTAGTCGGATTTGCACTTGTCGCACACTCGTTCCCTCTCATCTGGAGTCGATTTCAGGCAGCGGCGGCAGAAGATCTGTAAATGCGCTTCATTGAGAATTGGCTCATTTTCAGCCGATTTCTTTAATTTTTGGTTCATTTTGTCTGAAATTTGTCCTGAATCATCATTCCTTACCATTCCACACAGATGACAATGAATTCTTCGCTCGATGGTACTTGAAAACTCGCCACGACACGTCGGATTCGAGCATCGGTCGGCGCCACGAAGCGGTTGCCATTTCAGAGAGTATCTGAAATTTTTGAAGATAACTTTTAGGTTAAAAATCGCGTATTTCCCAAAATTAGCGTTGGAGCGCATTTGCTAAAGACTGCTCAATCTAGGCTTCTTTATACTTATTTTGAAGATCTAGTCCTGAGAAGCTAAAAAATCAACTTTTCCTTGAAATTGAGCAAAAACTAAATGAGTTATGAGCAATTTATCATTTTCTGACAAAGCCCAGATGTAGGCGTGTTCATACTCATTTTGAAGCTCTTGACAAGAGAAATCATTTGAACCAATTTTGGTTGAAATTGAGCCAAAACTAAGTGAGTTATGAGTGAATTAGCATTAGAGCGCGATTGCTTAAGAGCACGAAATGTAAACTTGTTTATACTCATTTCAAAGCTATAGTCTCGAGATGCTCAAAAATCTATGTTCCATTCAAATTTGGCGGAAACTGAGTGAGTTATGGGCAATTTAGCATTAAAGCGCGTTTGCTGACAAGAGCCAAACCTAGGCTTGTTTATACTCATTTTGAAGCACTAGTCACGGAAAGCACAAAAATCTACTTTTCATTGAAATTGGACAAAAACTAAGTGAGATATGAGAAATTCATCAATAGAGCGCAAATACTGACCCATTCCAAATCTAGGCTTGTTTATACTCATTTCGAAGCTCTCAACAAGCTGAAACCGATGTAAACATTCACACGGCCTAGTTTTGGATTTCTAGGCCACTAGGTCATTTTCTAGGTCAGCAAAACCTAAAATCGCTCTAACTTGGCCCAAAAACCTGTATTTTGCTCATTTTTAAAGCATTTTTACCTAGTCAACGCCTCATCCGGATAGTACAAACTCGAATCCATGACTCCGGATTCTTGCGACGTGGCACGCTCCAGAAGACGTGACGTCGATGAGGACGACGTGGATGTGTTGAGAAGAGGGTCCAGCGGATGGGAGATGGAGAGATTTTTGAGTTCATCTGTTGCACTCGACATTCCAGAATCTATCATATTTGTAGGCGTTGTGGCCGATGTGGAGAGTTGTTGTTGCTGGCTTCTGGAATTTTCACAAAATTATTATTGGAGCGCGTTTGCTGACAAAATCCAAACCTAAGCTAGTTTATACTCATTTTGAAGCTATCGACCCGAGAAGATCAGAAAATTAGTTTTCATTGAGTTTGAGCAAAAGCTAATTGAGATATGAATATGTTATCATTGGAGCGCGTTTGCTGAACTAAGCTAGTTATGAGAGAATTAGCTTTAGAGCGCAGTTTCTTCAAAGTTCGAAACATAGGCTTGTTCATACTCATTTTGAAGCTATAGACTCGAGAAGCTCAAATATCTATTTTTCATTACAATTGAGCCAAAACTAAGTGAGTTATGACCATTTTAACAGTAGAGCGCGTTTGCCGAAGACCGCCGAATATAGGCTTGTTTATACTCATATTGAAGCTATAGACTCCAGACACTTAAAAATCTACTTTTCATTCAATTTGGGCCAAAACTGTGTGAGTTATGAGCATTTTAGCAGTAGAGCGCGTTTGCTATAGACCGCCGAATATAGGCTTGTTTACACTCATTTTGAAGCTATAGACTCCAGAAGCTCAAACATCTACTTTTCATTACAATTGAGCTAAAACTAAGTGAGTTATGAGCATTTTAGCAGTAGAGCGCGTTTGCCAAAGACCGCCGAATATAGGCTCGTTTATACTCATTTCAAAGCTCTTGACATGAGAAGCTCAAAAATATATGTTTCGTGTAAATTGAGCAAAATCTGACAAAGTTGTGAGCATTTTATCGATTTCTGGGATTTTCAGATTTTCAGAATCCTTCAGAATCCTCCAAGAAAGAAGGAAAAACATACTTCAATTCAGCGAGACGAGTTCTCAACTGAGCCACATGAGATTCCAATACTCCAACATGTTCCATCGCAGTCATCGTCAAGTCTTCCAGTCGTTCTCTTGGCTGTAGTCCCCCATCAAATCTGTTATACATCCCAGTCCACACACTGAAACGAGCCGCCCGTGTGTCCAAATCCAAAAGTGCCACGTGGGCGGTTGGCTGGAAGAGGAATTGCTCAGTAGGGAAAAGTTAGGCCATCTCTTACCGAGTAGAACGGATTCATGTAGTCGTCGTGGCGTGCGTCCATGAATGTCCAGAGGGATTTCGTGCGTTTCGAGAGATTCAGATCCTGGAAGAGGAATGAAAAAAGTTAGGCCACGTTTCGCTTTGGTGGAATAGTAGAATAGTTAGGCCACGACATCAAATGGGATTTCTAGATCATCCTACTGGAAAGTTAGGCCATTAAAAGCAAAAGCTAGGCCACTCAGTAGAAAGCTAGGCCATCGACCTCAAAGCTGATTGTTCAGGATAGCTAGGCATTCATGTGAAAAGTTAGGCCATTATAGGAAAAAGTTAGGTCACGACATTTTAAAATATGGCATGGGATAGTTAGGCCATTGAAAACCAGAGTTAGGCCACTAGATACAAAAGTTAGGCTATGATATTTAACGAGGCTGTATTGAAAAGTTAGGCCACTATAATGGAAACCTCGGCCATCACCTTAAAGATGGCCGTATGCAAAAGTTAGGCCACTATCTGAAAAATTAGGCCGCCGACCTCTATGCCGCCCCTTCTGAATAGCTAGGCCATCATGTTCAACAGTTAGGCGATTGGCTTCCAAGCCAACTGTTTAGGATAGTTAGGCCACCTCCTTAAAATCGGATGTATGCAAAACCTAGGCCTCCGACCTCAAACCCGACCTCTAAGCCGTCCCTTCAGGATAGTTAGGCCACCATTCCCTAAACCTAGGCCACCTACCCTGCGATCCTTATCACAATTTCCGACGAAAGTGCCAAATTGACACGAGTAGACGTGCTCGTGTATCTCGATCAGATATCGCTCGTTGAACTGCAAAATTTAGATATTTTCAGCCGAATTTTCAGCCGCATTCCCCACCTGAAACGCTCTTGGTTTCTGCTGCATAATCTGCCAAACACAATCCAGCCATTGGGAGAAAATCGGCGAGATTTCTTTGCCCGCCTCGTCGTTCAGCACGCCGACGTGACCACAGCGATCGTCGAATTTGTGTCCGAAGCCCAGCCAGTCCTTTTCGATGACAATTTGAAAACCGTGAATGGTACGGTAGTAGGGGTCGAGGAGGAGTTGACACATCGCCACTACCTGGAAACGGATGCCAAATTGCTCATAACTAGTTCAGTTTTCGCTCAATTTCGTTGAAATTTAGTTTTTTGAGCTTTTCTTTTAGACTGTAGCTTCAAAATGAGTATAAACACGCCTAGATTTGGCTCTTATCAGCAAACGCGCTCTGATGATAAAATGCTTATAACTCTCTTCATCTTTGCTCGATTTCAATCTAAATTAGTATTTTGAACATCCCAAAAGCATAGCTTCAAAATGAGTATAATCACGCTTTGGTTTGGGCTTTGACAGCAAACGCGCTCGAATGCTGAATTGCTCATAACTCCCTCAGTTTTCATTCAATTTGAATGAAAATTGGTTAACTTTATTTGTCATGCCAAGAGCTTCGAAATAATTATAAATAAGCCTAGATTCGGCAGTCTTTAGCAAATGCGCTCTAATGATAAATTGCTCATAACTCTCTCAGTTTTCGTTCATTTTAAATGAAAGTTAGTTCAAATGATTTCTCTTGTCAAGAGCTTTAAAATGAATATAAACAAGCCTAGATTTTGATGTCGTCAGCAAGTGCGCTCTATTGCTAATTCTATGAAAACCCACCTGCGAAGTCCTATCCCATCCATCTGAGCAATGTACAACACAGCTCGTTCCTCTGCTAATACTCTCCGCCAGGAACAGCGAACACTCAACAACAGCTCTCAAATGTTTCAACCATCCCGATGATTCCAACGTCTTCCAGTATTCTGCCACGTCACGACACTTTGTCACAGCGTCCAGAAGACGTGCTTGCGAGGCACGCATCACGTGGATATTCTCAATGTCGAAGAAGTGGAAGCGCATGTTTGAGTAGTTTCTCTCGTCCTGAAATAGGCCATTTTTTGGGTTTTTACTGGCTTATTTTGGGTCGAATTTCAGCTATTTTCAGCCTATTTCCGGCCCATTGCTCACCTCGAAACCCTTCCCCTGAACTTTGTTAACCATCGCATTGACACGTGGTCTCGTATCCACTAGGAGCAGATTCTCCGAGTTTGGATTCGCTTTTCCCACCAGCTCCATCAACTTCTCATCCTCCACACATCTCGCCGAAAAGCCGGTTAGCGGTTGAGCGCATCTGCATAGTGCCGCTTCGGTTTGGCGGTGGAAGTAGGTCAACACGGGAAGACGTCCACGACTTCTGAATTTACACGACCCGAGGAGCACAGAGGTCGATGCGGCGGTTGGGAACCAGAGTTTGTCGGGGTAGGTGTCACAGATCTGGAAAATGAGGAAATCGATCATCGATTCGAAATTTAGATTTTTGATCATAACTCGTTCAGTTTTTGCTCAAATTTCATGAAAAGTAGATTTTTGAGCTTCTCGAGACAATAGCTTCAAAACGAGTATAAACACGCCCATATTTCGTTTAGTCAGAAAACGCGCTCTAATGGTAAAATGGTCAGAACTTGCCTAGCTTTTGCTCAATTTCAACGAGAAATAGATTTATGAGCTTCTCGAAGTTAGAGCTTCGAAACGAGCATAAACAAGCCTAGGTTTGACGGTTTTTAGCAAACGCGCTCTAATGCTAAATTGCTCATAACCCACTCAGTTTTTGGTCAATTTCAATGAAAATTAGATTTTTGAGCTTCTTGAGGCTATAGCTTCGAAACCAGTATAAACAAGCGTAGGTTAGGGCTTTTGGAGGAAATGCGCTCTAATGCTAAAATGGTCATAACTCACCTAGCTTTTGCTAAATTTCAACGAGAAGTAGATTTATGAGTTTCTCAAAGTTACAGCTTCAAAATGAGTATGAACAAGCCTATATTTGGCTATTGTTAGAAAACGCGCTCTAATGCTAAACAACCCATAACTCCCTTAATTTTCGTTCAATTTCCATTAAAAGCAGATTTTTGAGCTTTTCGAGGCTAGAGCTTCAAAATGAGTATACCCACGCCTAGGTTTGGGATGCAGAAGAAAACGCGCTCCAATGCTAAAGTGATCATAACTCACCCAGTTTTCGATCAATTCCGATACAAGTTAGTTAAAAGGATTTCTCTTGTCGTAAGCTTCAAAACGAGTAAAAACAAACCTAGGTTTGGCGGTTTTTAGCAAACGCGCTCTACTGCTAAATTGCTTTAAACTCATTCAGTTTTTGCTCAATTTTAATAAAAACTAGTTCACACGATTTTTCTAGTCGAGAGCTTTGAGAAAAGTATAAACAAGCCCAGGTTTGAAGGTATGAAGAAAACGCGCTCTAATGCTAAACTACCCATAACTCACCTAGTTTTTGTTCAATTTCAATGAAAATTCGATTTTTGAGCTTTTTGAGGCTATAGCTTTGAAATGAATACAAACACGCCTAGGTTTGGGATGTTGAAGAAAACGCGCTCCAATGCTAAAATGCTCATAACTCCCTCAGTTTCTGCTCAATCGCTTTGAACGTTCGTTAACTACATTATTCATGTCGAAAGCTTTAAAATGAGTACAACCACGCCTAGGTTTGTGATCTTGAAGGATTTGCGCTCTAATGCTAAATTGCTCCTAACTCACTTAAATTTCGCTCAATTTCAACAAACAATAGTTCAAATGATTCCTCGTGTCAAGAGCTTCAAAATGAGTACAAACTCGCATAAGTTTGGGATGTTGAAGAAAATGCGCTCTAATGCCAATTTGCTTACAACCCACTTATTTTTCACTCCATTCCAATGAAATGTAGATTTTTGATCTTCTCAAGACCAGAGCTTCAAAATGAATATACCCACGCCTAGGTTTGGGGATCTTTAGCAAACGCGCTTCAATGCTAAATTGCTACTAACTCGCTCAATTTTCACCCAATTCTAATGAAAATACCTACCGTATACCCCTCATTAATTCCCGATTGTGTCCATTTGGGATTCTGTGAAGCCAAGACACCCTGTCTGGCCATTTCGGCCGGCCAATCCAACCGTTTCCATCCTCTGGCATCATCCACCGGCTCTCGATTCTCGAATGCCAATAGCTCGGTCACGTTCACTGAAACTGCAAACAGACTCAAGGTTAAGGCTGGGGGTGGACAGATAGCGAAGGGAAAAAAAAAAGATGGATAGGTGGGCAAATGCGCTCTACCGAAACAGGGAAAAGCAGAATAGGAAAGTCGTACTGTATCTGTGTGTCATCAGGCACTCACCAGGTTTCGCAGCTCTTTGCAATGTTTCATACAGGTCTTGACACGATTTATCACGGCTTATCAGCAGGGTGATCACCTGGAAATTGCTTATACTTTAACAATTTTGAAAATTTCAAAAAAATACCTGAAAATGTTTGCACCGTATCACCAACTGACATCCGGCGGCCGTCAGGGTCCCTCTCTCCACAGAAGCAATGAGTCCCGTGGCTAGCCATAGCTCTTTTGAGCCGTTTTCAGCTCGAAAAATGATGTGGGTCGTTGTGACGTGGACGGTGCCGACGAGGTTCTCATGTGATCCGAGACGATCGACCAGGTAGACTTTGTCGACCTGGAAGAGCAATTTTAGGGGGTCGTGGCCTAGATTTTTCAAATTATTGGATTTCTAGGCCATCTCGTTTTTCCGATTTTTTCTAGGTCGTTTTCCAGCCTAGTAGAGCTTCTATAAGCCTTATTAGGCCCTCAACCTCAATTTGCACCTGGTGGCCTAGGATCCGACAATGGCCGAACTTTTCGAAATTTGAAAATTTTGAGGTTTTACCGTGCCTTTATTTATTTCTAGACTGTTCTATTCATCATAGTGTTTCTAGAAACCCAATCCCACCGTCCAGGCNTAATTTGCACCTGGTGGCCTAGGATCCGACAATGGCCGAATATTTTAAAATTTCGAAAATTTGATATTTTTAGTTTTGTCAAACTTTTCTAGCTCATTTTCCAACCTATTAGAGCTCCCATAAGCCTTATTAGGGACCCAAACTCAATTTGACCTAGGTGGCCTAGGATCCGACAATGGCCGAGTTTTTTAAAATTTAGAATGTTTTCTTGTGGTCTGCTCTCACCACCTTTCCCAACCCTCTCGCGCCTTCTCCAAGCTTGGCCTAGTGGATAACAGTGCTGCCTATCAATCTAGAGGTCACAGGTTCGATCCCCGGCGTGGCCATAGTGCTGGCCTAGCTTTTCCTAGTCCCTCTCCCCTCACCATCATCGCAATCCGTCCATCCTCTCCATACCCGCACCCGGCGTGTACCGACTCTCTGCCCATTAGCGTATCCATCAACCCAGTGATCTTATCCTTCAACAAGCTTCCGGCTACAGTAATATCCTCTGTGTAACCCGAGGATAGTGCCGATGGGGGTACGGTAGATTGTGGCGTGTTTGCAGCAGTGCTCGGATTTCCGCCGAAGATAAAATGAGAGCTCCATGAGGAGGAGGCTGTTGACGGGGTGGTTGAAGTGGTTGAGATTGATGGATAAATGCCGGATAGTGTCATGTTATTCCACCACGCCGTCAGTGGGGTCGTTGAGACGGCCGGCGTGGTTGCCGACATTTTTTGGCATATTATGGTTATGTAGGGGGGGGGGGGGCAGGTTACTGTAAGTTGTAGGACATGTTCAGAAAGCTAATGAGAAAGATGTTGAGAGACACAGAAATATTGAGAAAAACTGACTTTTGGCATAATACGGCTAATAGGGATGTTAAGGGAGCTATTGAGAAAGGTGTTAAGAAAGTTATTGAGAGAGAGAAAGAGAGAGAGAGAGAGAGAGAGAGAGAGAGAGAGAAAGAGAGAGAGAGATGTGTTGAGGAAAATTCTAATTGGCATATACTTAGCAGCTATTGGGGAGACTACAAGATATTAGACATGTTGAGAAAGATATTGAGGGAAATAGAGATGTTAAGAGAGCTATTGAGAAAAAATGGATTTTTGACATATTACGGTTATCAAGTTATCAAGTTTGACATAATACGGTTATCAAGTTGGTTACTGTAAGATAAGGGACGTGCTGAGAGAGATATTGAGGAAAATATAGATGTTAAGGGAGCTATTGAGAAAGCTATTG